TTTTTTTTTAAAAAGAAAGAAAGAGTTACCGTCTCGGAAACACAGGGGCAGTTAATCCCTGTCTTATAGGGTTGCTGTGAGTCAGAATTGACTCAGTGACAGTGAAATTTAGTTTTCTCATATCTACAACTCAGAAGAAAGACCTTGATGATTGAGAGTTTTTGTCATTTAGATGAAATTTAAAGTCTTGAGAGGCAATAGACTCATTTGAGGGCAGGCTGTAAAACGGTAAGAAGAACTAGAGCTGCATCCTGAGGAGCCTCAATACATTAAAGGTGAGGTACAGGAAAAGACACTTTTTTCTTTAGAAAGTAACAGTTAAAAACTAGAAGGAGAATAAATTCAGGAAATTGTGCTATTATCAAAGAAGATAAGTGTCTTGATGAGAAGATAGTGACTGAAAGTTATTCGTTGTTTTTAATAGCATGATAATTCTCAGGGAACTGAACAGATAGTAGTTTAGAGCATCTGGGGGAGCTAAAAGCCAGTTGAGCTTGGTTCAGGCAAGCAAGCTGGATGGTTTAGCAGGCTGAGTTTGGAGAGTAGGTGGTTTCTGATTATTTGAAGGTTCTGAATCAATATAGAAGACTGAAAGTGAAGCAATAAAGACAATCACATTGAGTGGGAAGGCCAGCCAATCCTCTTCTCAAGAAGTTAGATAAAATTGACCAAAGTAATTATTTCAGGAATATTCTGGAAAACAACCAAAGCTAATCGCTGCTAATTTGAGAAGCATCTATTCCTGAAAGCATTGGTGAACTTTGGTTAAGGGTAGGCATGCTTGTCTGGACTGCTCACAGCGCTCACTGTTCAGACGACACAGAGATGCTGCTGGGGCAGCACAGCCCACGAGAACTGGAGGCTTTAGTGCCTGTGTTATAAGCGTCTCAATTTGGAGCTGTGGGCAGTGCCCATGCCCAACACACTTCTTAATGGAATTGACCATCTTGGTGGTGTTTGAGAGGGGAAGAGACAGAGGTTCACTTAACCAGACAATGCACTTCTTATTTGAGAAACAGCTGGGGCCAGGTGTATGTACAATAGAGACCAGACATTGCCTGAACTAATTCCATACAAACGGCTTATCTAGTCACAGCACACACATCCAGAGAAGTCATTAATAACCCGGCAAAGAGTAAAAGCTACAGCAGTCTTGAAAATGGTTTAGAGTTTACAAAAATGCACTGGTAGGTATTGGAAGCCCTGGTATCTTGGCATGCTTCTGCACAGCCATTGACCACTAAGTGACACAGACACAGAGGTAAATGGAGGTAGTCCTGAGGAAGCCAGGCATAAAAATAAAAAGAATGGGGAAGACAGAGTTCTATGATTTAGCCAAAAGAGATTACTAAACAAAGCAATAAATAAGAAAGTAACAACAACGTGTGTGTGTGTGTGTGTGTGTGTGTGTGTAAAATCAGAGTACAAAGTTGCTGCACTATATTTTAAATGTTCAGTTTTCAATTACAAAAACAGATAGGAAAATGGGACCCATGCGTAAGGCGGCAGCGGGTAGGGGTGGGGGGTAATGGGTAATCAATCAGTAGTAAATGTTTTTAGGGAGCCCTGGGGGAAATAGTGGATTATGTACCAGGGTGCTAAATGGCAAATCCAGTTCAAACCCACTAGCCACTCCATTGGAGAAAGATGAGGCTTTCTGCTTCCGGGTTTTTTAATTGATCTTTATAGCTCTGAGGTTTACATTGAGGTCTTTAATTCATCTTGAGTTTAGTTTTATAACTGGAGTGAGGTATGGGTTCTGTATTATACATCTGCAAATGAAAATTCAATTTTGCTAGCACTGTTTTTTGAAGAGGCGTGTTTCAGCCCTCTGTCAAAAGTGAATTGTCTGTAGTTGGATTTATTCCTGAGTTCTCTGTCCTGTTCCATTGGTCTGCATGTTTATCTCTGTACTAATACCAGTTTGATTTTACTACCATGGCTATGGTGGCGGTGGTTCTGTTTCAGACTGGGAAATGAGAAATCTTCTACCCTGTTGTTGTTCTTCAGTTGTTCAGTGCTGTAGAGCCCGTCTGACGCATGGCAATAGTGTGTACAATAGAACAAAGCACTGCTGTGGCCTGTGGCATTCTCTCAATTATTATGTTTGTGCCCCTGTTGCAGCCCCTTTGTCAATTCATCCCCGTGAGGGGGGGGGTCTTCCTCTTTTTCACTGCCCGTTCCTTAGTGGTTCCTTAGTGGTTTGTCTCTCTACTTTCATGAAGTCAATGTTTATTTTTTCCTCTTTAATGAATGACACAGATCTTGATCAGAATTGCACTGTATTTATAAATTGCTTTGAGTAATATTTATAGTTTGTAACATTAGGCTTCCCATCTCTGAATATTGTATAGTCTTCCATCTTTGCAAGCCTCTCTTTCGGATACCCTAGGGTTCGTGCAGAAAGTCTGTGCAAGTCACCCTCTTATCAGACACTGATTTCTAGTCTAGCAATTACTTTAACTTTCATTGGACCAAACCCTTTGGGTGACCGAATGTGTGGAAATAATATGTCATGTCATAATTATATATCACATTTTGCATTTTAATTATCTTTGCATTATTTTTATTACTGTGCATTGTTGTCTTTGGTGATAGTAGGAACTGTGCCAGCATGCATATCTGAGGCCTTGGCTTTGAATAAGATAATCCTGCCACTGGTTTTCAACTGCTTAGTATTGATCAATTGTATCCTATGGCGTTTACATTTTATTAAGAGAACACAGAAAACACTGTTTTCTAGTAAAGTATGTTAAAAAACAGTAATTAAAAAAAAAACCCAGTAATTTCTTTTACATTGATCTCTCCCGGTGAACAGTCACCTGAATGGCTTAGCAATCCATTATAAAGAATGTGTAAATACAGTATTCAGTGTTATAATGTACAAGTATGTTACCTTTCAGTTATAACTTTAAATTGATGAAGATGTGGAAAGACATCTTATTTTCAGTTACTACAGTTTCTTCTCTTTACGTTAAGTAAGCAAAATCAAAACCAGGCTCCCTGCTATAGAGCTTGTTTGGGCTCATAGAGACCCTGTAGGATAGGATATCACTGCGTCTGCCAGTCCCTGAGGCTTTAACTCTTTGTAGGAATAGAAAGTCTCATCTTTCTCCTCCAAAGCAGGTGGTGGTTTTGAACTGTTGTCCTTACCGTTTGCAGCCCAGTGAGTAACCAACCCCTCTTACACCAGGGCTCCATTAAGTAAACAAGGAGTTATTAATTAAAAAATAAGAACATATTATTATACTAAAAAAAGCATTAATTATAGGTTGGGACATTTCTAATATTAGTAGCAAAATATAGATAGGTCTTTTTGGATTTATACATGTTTTTATGAATGAATAAAATTAAATATACATGACTTACTGTGATATAATAAAATCTTGGCTTTAATTGATCTTATCATTCTTTTTTTTTCCCCTCCCCAGGCGTATTTCATTAGCTAGTCCACGTCAACTTTTTAAAGCTTCTAATATGACCCAGCGATGGCAACACAGGGAAGTTTCAAATTTTGAGTACTTGATGTTTCTCAACACGCTAGCAGGTAATCTAACCTCACAAATTGATTTGTTTTTAACAATAAGTAATTAATTGTCGCATAGTTATTTTGAGTACTGCTATAAGTGGCTTATTTTTAGTACAAAAGTGACTTACTGAGTTTTTTGAAAGGAGCCCTGGCGGCACAGTGGATAAGTGGTTGACTGCTAACACAAAGGTTGGTGGTTTGAACCCACCAGGTGCTCCTCAGGTAAACAAGGCGGCAATCTCCTTCCATGAGGATCACAGCCTTGGAACCCCAGTAGGAGAGTTTGACTCTGTCGTGTAGAGTTGTGAAGAATCAGAATCGACTCTACAGCATCCAAATATTATAACCATTTCCACTATCACACATCTTTTTTTTTTTTTTAAAAAAAAGGTAGTTCAGGATATTAAAGTAGACAAGTGAAAATCCAATAAGAATATTAAAAATAGCTTTAACTTTTAGTATTGGTGTGTTAGACTGGATTGACTAGTACAGCAGTTCTCAACCTGTAGGTCATGACCCCTTTGGGGGTCGAACAACCCTTTCACAGGGGTTGGCTGATTCATACCAGTAGCAAAATTACAGTGATGAAGTAGCAATGAAAACAATTTTATGGTTGGGGGGTCACCACAACAAGAGGAACTGTATTAAAGGGTCGCGGCATAAGTAAGGTTGAGAACCACTGGGCTAGAGATACAAATCCAGAGATACTCATAAATGTGTAAGAAAGAGCTTTACATCCAGAAGTAATTCTATATCAAGAAGCATCTCAATCTAGTCCATCTCAAGTCTTTAAGTTCAATTCTAGTCCTTAAGACTCTTCAGACTCACGCAGCCACATGCAATGATGCAGCATGCAGGAAGAGTCCAGGCCAGCGCTGCAGATTCATGCGAGTTGGAGTTCAGTGGAAAACATGGCAGGGCTCCAATAGCTCTTTGGTGTCCAGGAAGGAGGGAGGGGAAGGCGGGGAGGGAGGGAGAGAGAACGAGCACATGGACAGACAGACGCCAGCCTCCAGGGAACTATATATCTTAGTTGCATTTCCAAGGGAGGTCACATGGCTGCAACCTGATTGAAAGGCTAAACTCTACCCATATCTTCTTACAAGTGTCATATTGGCACAGAAAACATAACTATCACAATTGATTTTAGAGTTTCCAGTTTTGTATTGAAATAAATAAGTTTCAAGCCTTTAATTTATAGCACAGGAAGAATAAAATCCATATACTATTTGAAGAACCTGTTAATAATAAAATTGGAAATGTGTTAACATGATGAAACAATGAAGCACCCACAACAAAAACCCCGGTAAAATATCAAATAACAAATATTTATATTATGACTTATATGAAACCTAAACACTAAATGGTCCCATTATAAGTCCTATGTTTTAGTTTTCTAATTCTCTATAACAAATACCACAAATGAGTGGCTTTATAAACAAAAGCTTACTTTCTTGAAGCTCCGGAAGCTAGCAGTTAGGATTCAGGGCACCATGTCTAGAAGAGCCCGTCTTTCCATTTCTTTTTCTCGATGCAGCTTCTATGCCATTCTTTTTATAATTCAGAAGTGCTTGGTTTGAAAGAGCTTCCTTCACATATCAGAGAAAACATCATTTTCAACTGTGATTCTATCCACTGGGATAGGGGTGAGGATTTGAACATATCACCTTGGCTAGACATAATTAAACCCATCACTGTTTAATATCATGTGATGTTACTGAAATTCTCCCAGTAAAGCTGTTTACTTTGAAAATGAGTAGAGAAAAAATATATAATTACTTTTGATTTGTGATAGACAAGTTGTTTTGGGGGAATATTTGAATGTTTATATAATTCTATAACCAATTGGTATGAGCGCAATAAAAGAAATGACAAGTTCTGTGGAAGGATTCTTTTATATTCATCCACTTAGTCAGAGTTAGGAGAAAATCAGGAAAATGTTTGTGTTGTAAGGACCTGTATGACTGAGTACCAGAAGTAGTTGGAAGATTAGAAACCATTCCATCTAAATGTGAGAACACAAGTAGGCCTTATGAAGTATGCGTACAGGACAGTTAACAGATTAGTTTGTGAGTGTGCAAAGTATACTCGTGTGTGCTTCCAACTTTCCTAGGGCTGCCACTACAGTATCACAAAGTAGGTCGCTTTAAAGAACAGATCTCCCCCCCCCACAATTCAAGAAGTCAAAAGTCTGAATTCAGGGCTTCACCTTTAGGGTGAGTTGTATTACCTCAGTTAGCTTCTGCCTCTCTGGCTGTCTCCTGACTTTTCTTGACTCCATAGATCCATCTTCACATGGCATCTGTCTTCTTCCCTGTATGCCTGTTTCCCCACTGTTCAGCATTAAGCCTTAGGTCGCTGCCTTAATCCTTAGGATCTCCTTAATGTAACAAAAGGAAGCTCTGATTTCCAAATCCAGCACTCTCCTGTGGATATCAACTCACGGAGACCTTTTGGGACAGAGTAGAACTACTCCATAGAGTTTCCGAAGATGGACATATTCATAGGGACTGGCTGCCACATCTTTCTTCTTTGGAGCTGCTAGTGAGTTTGAATCACTGCCCTTGTGGTTAGCATCCCAGAACTTAACCTAGTGGACTACAAAGTACGTGAACAGGTACAGGGGTTAGGATTTAAATATATTGTTTTGGGGGGCACAATTCAATCTATAACATAGGTTTAAAGATAATGAGAACGAAATCTAGAAAGGTAGTTGAAGACAATATTAATTTTTCTGTCAGTTTGAGTAAACTAAACTAAACGCGCTGCCATTGAATCGATGCCTACTCATGATGGCCCTATAGGAGAGGTTAGAATTGCCCCCGTAGGTTTCTGAGACCATCACCGTTTACAGGAATAGAAAGCCCTTGTCTTTAGCAGTTAATTTGCAATCGAACTTATAAGACGTTTTGGGGCACCATTATTAATATTAGAATTGTACGAAAAATTAACCTGAAGACAGTATGTAAAATTAATTGGACTGGCCAGTGACTAGCCAGAGAGCAAAATAAGGAGACAAGTTTGTGATAAAGGACTGAACTAGAGTTGCTACAGTGGGAATTTAAAGGAAGGAGTAGCTAAGGTGAGAATTCATAAGGTATAAACCATTTGACACACAGCTAACTGAAAATGGGGAAAGGAATGTTAGGAAAGACTTCCAGGCTTCTGGTCTGAATCAAGGGGGAAATAATGGTGCCATTAGTAGACAATCTCGTCATGAAACTTTGATCTAGGGAAAGATGGCAGTTCTATGGTCATTTCACTGTGCTAACAAGACATCCAAGTTAAGTTCTCAAAAAAATATTTATTGGAACTATGACTCAAAGACAGTATGCAGAATTTAGGGAGTGTACATTGGTGTTCAGCTGCATCTACAGGAACTCACCAAGAGAGAGGTGAGATTATCAAGAAACCAGTGAGAAGGTCTTGGGAAATCCTGCTGTGTATGAGAGAGGGAATAAAGGAGTGCAGAGAATAATAATCTGAGAATTTATTCAAGGAGTAGTAGAACTAAGGAAACCAAATAACCTGATAGAGGGGGAAAGCGAGAACGGTTTTGGTCACCTGCATGCTAACGAGACAAGGCAGAATTAAGAGTGAGTCCAGGTCAGGCTTGGGGACGTCATCTGGGGTCTGTTGGTGACTTGACAGGAGTTCGTTTAAAAAGTGAGGAAAGAGGGCAATAATAAAGACTGAATAGTTGGAGATGGAATGGGAACATTAGGTAGAGATTCCATTTTTGGTGGTTTTTTTTTTTAAAGTATTGATAGTGAAGGCAGATGACTTAAGGTAGGAATCAGAACCTATCGAAGGGAGGGTAATGACTCAGGTGATAGAGCAGGTAAGTTCAAGAGCTCAAGTAAAGGTATTATTCTTAGCAAAAAGAGATCCTGTCACAGACCCGAGGAAGGCAGGAGTCTTATGAAGAAGACAACTACACAGAGTTAGGTTAGACCTTGAGTCAGTTATTTTGAAAATCGTGTCTGTATTGACAAAGAATAACATTTCATAGTCTGCTGAGGATAAAGAATAAAGAAAATTTGAGTTTTCATGGTAAATAGAGTAAGGCTTAACAACTGGTAACTAAAAGGATTTTAAAAATAGTAGAGAGAGCTAAGAAACTTAAATGACAAGTTTAATGGACATAGTTTCATGTGGTGAATCTATTAATATATATTGATTGGGTGCACGTAATGATTATGGAAGTTAAAAATTTATGAAATGGTCCACTTTCAAATAGCTTCTTTGTGCCTACAATATCTTTTTAAATGTCCCTGACTATTCTATTTATTTTTAAACTTAAAAAAATCATTTTATTAGGGGCTCATACAACTCTTATCCATATATATGTCATATATATATGTCAGTTGTGTAAAACACATTTGTACATTCATTGCCCTCATCATTCTCAAAACATTTGCTCTCCACTTAAGGGCCTGGCATTAGCTCCTCATTTTTCCCCTCCCTCCCCGCTCCCCTCTCCCTCATGAACCCTTGGTAATTTATTGATTACTATTTTGTCATATCTTGCCCTCTCCGACGTCTCCCTTCACCCACTTTTCTGTTGTCCACTGGTGGAGTGAAAGGTTACAGAACAAACTAGTTTCCCATTCAACAACTTGTACACATTGTGTTCGATGACATTGATGGCAAATGCCAGAAAGTAGCAGACTCATCACATTTTCTCACTGTGTTCACCGCTTCTATGAATTTTATTTTTGCTGCCCCTTTCTGCCTTCTGTGCTCTTTTGGGAAGAAATGCTGCGCTTTTGGTCTTACATGGTTGGTTGGTCTGAGGGGTTCGTTCCTCTCTGCATGTCTGTAGTTTAGCTGAAAACTGATTCGTGGGGTGAGTTCCGGTCTTGCTTTGAAGGATGTGTAAGAGCCACAGTCTTGGGCTTACATCAGTCCTTGTCAAGCTAGTGAGCCTGGTCTTTTATATGATTTTGAATTTTTTTCTATCTTTTTCTCCCGTTCTATCTAAACCTTTCCCAGGCATTTAGTGGTCCTGATCAGAGCAGGTGGTAGTGATAGCTGACCACCATCTAGCTCTTCTTGTTTAGGGGTAGTAGAGGCTGTGGTTCCCACAGTTTTATATAATGATGTCTTTTTTTTAAATTGGTGCATTAACATTGATTTTTTTATAACGAAACATCCTTGCTTACCTGGTATGAATCCTCTAGATCAGTGGTTCTCAAACTTGGTCTCAACCCCTTTGGGGGTTGAATGACCCTTTCACAGGGGTCGCCCGATTCATAGCAGTAGCAAAATTACAGTGATAAAGTAGCAATGAAAATAATTGTATGGTTGGGGTCACCACAACATGAGGAACTGTATTAAAGGGTCGTGACATTAGGAAGGCTAAGAACCACTGGTCTAGATATGCATGATACTGTGTTGTCTGGGCTAGATTATTGTTGAGAATTGTGCGTTTGTATTTATAAGGGATACTAAAAATCCTCACTGCCGTCACTTCAATTCTGACTCATAGTGATCCCATAGGACAGACTAGAACTGCCCCTGTGCGTTTCTCAGACTGTAACTTTTTTTTCAAACTCTTTTATTAGGACACAATCCAGCCAATATACCATTCAATAGTATAGTCATATTAAGCCGTGTTGTACATTCACTACTATAATCATTGAAACACATTTTCTTTCTTCTTGTACTCCTTGATAGCAGCTCCCCTTTACCGGGCCCCCAGGAGCCCTTACTCTAGTTATGTCTTTATGGATTCACCCTAGAAAGACAGTGCTACATAAGATACTGCTGCTCTTTAAGGGAGCAAAAGCCTCAAATATCTCCTGCGGAGCAGCTGCTGGTTTCAAACTGTTGACCTTGTGGTAAGCAGCCCAGTTTGTAACCCCCATAGGGATATTGGTCTATAATTATAAAAAAAAACAAAAAACAAAAACATGTTTTTGCCTGACTTTGCTTGTTCTGTAGAAAGAATTTAAGAGTATTCCATCTTTTTTGATGTTCCGGGATTGAGTAGAATTAGGATCAGGATCAGGCCTTCTCTGAATGTTTAGTAAAATTCTCCACCAAAGCTGTGTAGGCCAGGACTTCTTGTTACAGGGGCAGGTGTTTGTGACTCAGTCATATTTTTTTTAACAAGTCTGTTAACATTTCTAGCTCATTCTCTGTCAACTTAGGGAAGATTGTGTTTGGGGAATTTGTCTATTTCTGGTATGTTTTCAATTTTTTTAGTACATTCCTTTATAAGAGTTAATTTTCTTTAAAAATAATATCAATAATTTATTTGAGATGGTTGTTTACATATAATGTGTGGAGCTATGCTACATGTTAAGATCCCCTCCATGCTATTATCTATGTCATATATAGAGTCTCATGATATTGTGATGCATTTCTCCCCAAATAGTTGAGATGTACTCAGTCACTACGTATAGAGTATAATGTAATCTAGAAAAGTCTAATCACACTGAGCATGTTCATCCTCTTTTTTATTTATTTTAGTAGGACAATAAACTTTTGATCGTTTAAGAAGTAGATGGATCAAGCTGAAGATTGGACTCTGCTAACATCTGCAGCAGAGGGAGAGGGAAATGGGAGTTGCTGTTAGCAGCTGCCCAGTCAGTTTGGGTGCATAGCCACGCTGTGTGCCACAGAAGCAAACACTGCCCATCCTGACCATCCTCACAATCATTGCTGTGTTTTAATGCATTGGTACATCTACTGTGTCAGCCAATCCTTTTGAGCATCTTCCTTATTATCACTAACCATCTACTTTACCAAGCATGATTGTCTTCTTCTACACGGACTGGCCTATTCTAATGACGTTTCTAAAGAACTGAAGACAAACTATTGCCATCTTCATTTCTAAGACGTATTCTGAAGGTACTTCTTTGAAGCCAGATTTGTTCATTCCTCTGTCAGCTTATGGTATATATTTAATACTTCTTTCCAATAATTTTAAGGCAGAATGTTTCCTTCAATCTTCCTTTCTCATTAATACTCTGGTTATCTGGGTTCCATGTCAAAATTACATACAGAAATGGATACAATCTAATCACATTTGGTTTTCTGCTACATTTCATGGTGGTGAGTAAATCTTCCTACCACAGACAGCATTGCGCTTCAGAATAGATGGTGAAGCGTCCTTTGTGACGTGGCTGCGATGCCGTTCCTGCGGGTTTGCCAGGGCCGGCACAGTAACCCATTTAATCAGCTGACTCTGGATGGCCAGTGCGAGTCCACTTCGCTCACTAATGCCTGGAATATCGATCTTTATGTGTAGCTTCCAATTTTCATATATTCCGACTTCATACTTCCCAAGTTCTAATTGTTAATCCGTCTTTGCAGCTGTCTTTTTCTCTTTCTTTCTTTTTTGTGAGTTTGTGCCCTGTCAGAAAATGATGTTCCTGAAGGCTTTACTCCATCTACATCATTCTGGTCTACTGTCGTTTTTGATCCTGGAGAAGGTCATCATGTTTCATAACAATCTCAAGGATTAGTGAAAATGAGGGAAAGCCTTCTTGTGATGGATTGACTTAACAATTGGGCTCAAATATACCAAAGATTGTGACGATGGTACAGGATGTGGCAGCATTTCATGCTATTGTGCACAAAGTCACCATGATTTTGAGATTAAATAAGGGAATACATGGAAACCATTGAGAATAATAGCTGGCACTTAATAACTGTTTGTCATTCTTACTGTTCTTTTAATAAAATATATTCCTAGATCTTAATACTGTGTTTCGTCATTCCAAGTTAAGATTTATTATTTTCCCCCCAACCAGGACGCAGTTACAATGACTTAAATCAGTATCCAGTATTTCCCTGGGTGATTACTAATTATGAATCAGAAGATCTAGATCTCACCTTGCCAAGCAACTACAGAGATTTATCTAAGGTAATTTTGCCTTAATCATCTGATATAGAATTATTTCCTATATAGAAATAATGTGCCAATTTTAATTTTCATATTCCTTTTAATCTTTTAACTGTAATTATAACATATATTTATCTTAAGTATTGTTAAGTTTAAGATATTGTAAATTTTAATATTCATTATCAACCTGATTAATTATAAATATGCATGATTAACTTGATTAACTATAATATACATCTTACTTTTTTTTTTCCACATGTGTTTTTAAGAAGCCATTATCAATGTCTTTGGCAGCTTTTTGTAAGGATGTTAATATTTGATAAAAGTGCATGAAGAAAGTCAGGAGACCTCAGTAGTGCTCCTACCTGAAGATGCGTGTCCACTACTATAGTTCTTGCCCATCTGATCCTTTCTTCAGTGCAACACAGTGGATCCTTTTTCAGGCTAATTTTATTTGAAACTCCAGTGCTTAAGCCTTTTTTTGATTCATTGAATGCAGAATAAATCTTTTCTTATTCAGAGCTTTGCATTTCTGCCTTTCCTGTTTTCTCTGTACTTTGTGAACAGTGCATTTTGTATGCCTCATGCACACCATTTTCCACTACTGTCTCCCATGATTTTCTCTGCCAGTTGCCATCCGGTCAATGCTGACTCCTTGTGACTCCATCTCGTGCAGAGTAGAGCTACATGCCTTAGGATTTCCAGTGCCTTTGGTCATTGTGGGTAAACCCTGTTGGCTCAGTGGTTGAATTACTCAGCTGCTAACCAGACAGTTGTTTGTTTGAACCCACAGTTTGCTCCACTGGTGAAAAGTGAGGCAATCTGCTAGCATAAAGATGGGTAGCCGTGGAAATTCTGAGGAGCAATTCTACTCTTTTCTATTGGGCTTCTGTGAATTGTAATCAACTCAACAACAGTGGATTTGAGTTTTTTAACCTTCCGAAGTCAGTCAGTGGTCCTTTCTTCCAAGATATGGTGGATTCTCCCTGCCAGCCTTTGAAACAATGTGCTTAACCTTTTGCACCACCAGGGAATCCTTGTTTGTTTCATCCTACCTACCAACTTCACCCACTGTCATTAAGTCAATTCTGACTTCACAACAGCCGTACATAAGGTTTCTGAGGCTGTTCCGTCTCTATAGGAGTTGCTGTGAGGTGCCATTTCATCAGTTTCAACTCAGAGGGACCCTGTCTGTGTCCCACAGAACAAGATGCTGCCTGGCCCTACATCGTCTTCACCATTGTTCTTACGTTTGAGCCCAGTGTTGCAGCCGTTTTGTTGAGTGCCTTGCTCTCGTTTGCTACCCTCCCACTTTTCCCAGTGTACGGTCCTTCCGGGACCCTCCCTCCTGATTACATGTCCAAAATGAGTGAGGTCTTTGCTTTTAAAGAGCATTATGGGTGTACTTCTTCCAAGACAGGTCTGTTTTGATTTGGGAAGTTCGTAGTACTTTTAATATTCTTTGGCGACCCCATCGTTCAAATGTCTTCCTTTCTTCAGTCTTCCATATTGGATGTCCAGCTTTCACATGCGTATGAGATGATTGAAGTACCATGACATGGTCAGGTGCACCTTGCTCTTCAAAGTATCATCCGTGTCTTTCAACACTCTAAAGAGGTCTTGTCCAGCAGATTGACCTAACTCACTGTGTCCTTTGATCTGTTGACTGCTACTTGCATGAGCATTGATTGTGAATCCAAGGGAGATGAAATCCTTGACAGCTTCAGTTTTTTTCTCTATCATGACGTGTTGCCTATTGATCCAGTTGTGAGGATATTTGTTTTCTTTACAATGAGTTGTAATCCATACTAAAGGGTGCAATTCTTGAACTGCATCAGCAAGTGCTTCACGTCCTCCTAGCTTTCAGCAAGCAAGGTTGTTATCTGCGTATTGCAGGTTGTTGATAAGTCTTCCTCTAATCCTGATTCTGCGTGCTTCTTCATACAATCCAGGTTCCAAGATTATTTGCTCAGCATACAAATTGAATAAGTATGGTGACGGGATGCAGCCCCGATGCACACCTGTCCTGATTTTAAACCAGGCAATATTTTCTTACTCTGCTTGCACAATTGCCCCTTAATCCATGCACAGTTTATGCAAGAGCACAATGGAATGTTATGGAATCCCCATTCTTTTCAAAGCTTCTCATACTTTGTTGAGATTTTGGCTCCCAGGGACTTGTTTTCACTTTGTTCAACTACAACCTGAACTTCCACATGAACAATTGATGGTCTGTTCCACCCTAACCCCTGGCCTGGTTTTACCTGATCATATTGAGCTATTCGATCATCTCTTTTATTGATGTGTAGTCAGTAAAATTTTATTTCTCTTTATTCCATCTGGAGTTCACCTTTATTTTTATTGCCTTTTTTGTTGTTGAATAAAAGCATGTACAATGAGGAAGTAATTGGTCTTGCAAGATTCTATCATACAATCTCTTGTTGTTTTTTTCTCTCACCAAGACTATATTTTCCAACTATTGTTCCTTCCTCCTTGTTTCCAACTTTTGCTTTTCAATTGCTTACATGCTTGATAAATTTCACACTGAAGACATTAGTATAATTCTTCAATTTCTGGATCTGTAGCTTTAGTGGTTGATGCATAAATTTATTTATTTCTCAAATCATTTTATTGGGGCTCATACATCTCTTATCACAATTCATACATCCATCGTTTGTGTCAAGCACATTTGCACATTTGTTGCCATCATCATTTTGAAAACATTTGCTTTCTACTTGAGTCCTTGGTATCAGCTCCTCATTTTCCCCCTCCCTCCCTGCCCCCTCTCCCTCATGAACCCTTGATAATTTAGAAATTATTATTTTGCCATGTCATACACTGTCTGACGTCTCCCTTCACCCACTTTTCTGTTGTCCATCCCCCAAGGAGGAGATTATATCTAGATACTTATGATTGATTCCCCCTTTCTACCCCACCTTCCCTCCACCGTCCTGGTATTGTTACTCTCACCACTGGTCCTGAAGGGATCATCTGTCCTGGATTCCCTGTGTTTCCAGTTCCTATCTGTACCAGTGTACATCACTGGTCTAGCTGGATTTGTAAGATGAATTGGGATCATGATAGTGGGGGGGAGGGGGGAGGCATTCTAGAACTAGAGGAAAGTTGTATGTTTCATCATTGCTACACTGCACCCTGACTGGCTCTTCTCCTCCCTGCTACCCTTCTGTAAGGGGGTGTCCACTTGCCTACAGCTGGGCTTTGGGTTCACACTCCACACACCCCCACATTCACAATGATATTAGTTTTTGTTTCTTTGATGCCTGATACCTGATTCCTTTGACACCTTGTGTGCTTCTTCCATGTGGGCTTTGTTGCTTCTGAGCTAGATGGACGCTTGTTTATCTTCAAGCCTTTAAGATCCCAGACGCTATATCTTCTAATAGCCGGGCTCCATCAGCTTTCTTCACCACATTTGTTTATGCACCTGCTTTGTCTTCAGCGATCATGTTGGGAAGGTGAGCATCATGGAAGATGCATAAATTTGAACAATAGCTGTATAGATTGGATTTCCTTATATGTGGATAGACTGTCTCCTTTAACAGACAGCGTTGTATTTCAAGATAGATCTTGAAGTGTCCCCGTTGACAATGAAAGCTAGGGCGTTCTTCCTGGTTGTGTCATTCCTGGCAGAGTGAAACATAGGAATTCCGATTCAAAATGGCCAGCACCAGTCCATTGCAGCTCAACCAACGCATTATCATATGTCCTAGCTTCATGCTGCAAACACTCCAAGTCTGATTGTTAATTGATGTTTGCAGCTGTTTCTTTTCATTTTAAATTGTAGGCCCTCAGCAAATGAAGGTACTGACGCCTTTCCTCGCACAGGCTTTACCTCCATCCAAGTCAGTATGATCGCTCTACTTTGACACGGCAGCTCCTCCTAGTCGCATTTGAGTGCCTTGTCACTCGAGGAACTCACCCTCTGGCATTATCTCTGACAGTGTTCTGCTTTATTTATGAGATTTCCAGTCACTGACATTGTGTTCATGCTATCCATAAGGTTTTCAGTGGTCATTTCCCCTCAAGCGGACAGCCCATTCCTTCTTTGTGGTCTGGAAGCGCTGCTGAAACCTGTTCACTTTGAGTGACTGCTATCTGGAATACCAGTGACATCAGCCTCAGCATCACAGCCACACACAAGCCACCACAGCACGACAAACCAACAGACAAGGAGGTGGTAAACAGTGAGGAGTAGACTAGCCTCATTGTTTTCCCTCGGGTGGGCTGGTGGGTCTGAACTGCTGCCCTTGTGGTGAGGTTAGCTGTCCAACTCTGATTCAACAACGCTACCAGGGCTCCATGGGTTTGCTTCGTAGGACCTGCTGAGTCTGCATTTTATATTCATTTTATATTCTTATATTTGGTTTGGTTTTTCTCCCCCAATCAACGTCATAATGTTGGAATTCTTGTTCACAATTTTGTTCTCCATATGCCTGTGTAGAGCCCAAAATATATTATGTACTAAATGAATTAAGTATATGTGACATTTTCAAATTACAATATATTTATTTTATCAGCTCTTAGAACTACAAAAACATGTAAAGAAAAGATGTTTAATTATTGCTAATTTTCCACAAAGCAATAAGGAATAATTATATTTTGCTGCCCAGTAAATGTCCTGGTGTTCGGTCCATTGTTTCAAACCTACCAGCAGCTGCTCCGTGGGGAACTCTGAGGCGTTCTCCTCTAAATGCTTCAGCCTTGGACCCTCTGGAGGATCACTCTGAATTGGAATCAACTCAATAGCAGTGTATCTTCTTTTCGTGAACCTGGCCATATTATCTATGCTGATTTTTTTAATTATAAATTTTTTTTCCTGGTATTTTAAAAGGCTCTCCTATTTTTTGTACCAGGCTATCAGATATTTCATTTTGACTCAGCATTTCTCAAACCTGATGCAGCAGTTGTGCTCAGTCCTCGAGTGTTGCTGTGAGCTGGAATCAAGTCAGTGGCAGTGCTGCTGGGAGACACACACTCACACGATGCGTGCACACACATTC